ATATATATATATATATATTAAAAGAAATTTACTTAGTTACTTATTTCGAAAGTAAGTCTTAGTTACTTATTTCATTTAATAATTCATATTCTATGTCAAATATCAACAATTCATGTAACGCTCCAAGTTTTTCTATTAATAAAATCTATTAAATTATTTATTTTTATAATTAATTAGATTGGTGATTTTAATAAATGTTTTAATTATTGATATATATATATTATTAATTTTTTATTTTACTATTTGAGGAAAAAGATGTGTAACTTTAAGTTAATTGTTTTAACTATTAGGTTAAAAAAGGAGTTAAATTTTAAGAGAAAGTTACTAAAACTGAATTAGATAAAAAATAATAAAAGAATATCTAAAAATTCTCTCGTAAAAAAAATTCATAAAATATTTACAATAATTATCCGTGTTTAATTAATATATAAAAATCAATTAATAGTTTAACTTTTCCAATAATGCATTGGCCTTGCTCTTTATCTAAATATTTTACTCTCAACCAACTATTTCCTAATAGACCGGATTTTCATTCCCACAGCTTGTCTAAAACCCTCAAAACTAGTATTTCCACAACAATATCTAATTTTATAGATCTTCCTATAGCTTCTCAGGACTTGAATACTCAATTTGAGAAGAATCAAAGCCTCATAAAGAGATTAGATGAAGAACACGTTTTTCTAGTCGCCAGAGTAGTTTATCTTTCTAGAATTTTGAAAATGACTTTTCATTTTTTTTTTATATCTTAACTCTCTCGAGACCAACTTCTATTTTTAAGTTAAACCAAGATTTTACGACTTAACTATAGAATTCTTTCATCCCTAGAACAACTAACAACATATAATAAAGAATCAAGATCCTCTAAAATGAGCTTATCATTTTAGAGAATAAAGAAAGTTTATATCTACAGTTTAATTATTTAGTGGTTTAAATTGATTTATATTTATATTTTTAAAACGTAAAATACAAACAAACTTGTATACAAATGTATTATTTAATTATTTATTATGTTTTTATCTTATAATATATAATATATACTTCTTTTTCATTAATTTGAAATATCATCTAACTTTTTTATATATATAATATAGTATTTTAATTTCTACATTATACAATAAATTTTTTTATATAATTAAAATAGAGCAATTGATTCTGATAAAGAAAAAATACTTTTGATAATTTAGGGCTTAGGTTAACTTCTGTTTTGGATTTTTAGTTTCTTGGCTGGATGGACCTTCTGTTTTTATTACTGCCAAAACTTGCCAAACTCGTCATCTTAATTAGCAATAATGTTACTTTGTTGACCAACAAAAAGAACAACTTTGCAAACTCTCCGCTCTTCAATATATTGCTTCATCCTGACTTCATCGTTAAAATAAATTCCCACGTGGACACAAAACTTTGATAAGTACCCCATATATATATGTATAATATACGTGCACCTTTCATGATCTTGTGCTTGCCACATTTCATTTAATTTCTTGGATCATAATAACGCAACCAACCCTTTTTTGTCTCTTCTTCCTAAATCCAGATGGAAGCAAAGACTAAGCCATTGTTGGTTGTATCTCTTCTCCTACTGGCTGCAAATTGTGTTCATGGAGAATCCCATGTACCTTGTGTTTTTATCTTTGGGGACTCTCTATCTGATAATGGAAACAACAACAACCTTCCAACATATGCAAAATCCAATTACAGACCATATGGCATCAACTTCCCAAATGGCCCAACCGGAAGATTCACTAATGGACTAACCACAATTGACTTTACTAGTAACATTTTTTTATGCTTAATTCACCATTTTTGTTTCAATCACCAAAAAAAAAAAAACTTATATAATATCATATACTTGTGTTATTAAAATCGACGTTTAACTATTGCAGCTCAACTTCTGGGATTTGAGAAATTCATCCCACCCTTTGCCAACACCAGTGGCTCAGACATTCTCAAGGGTGCTAACTATGCATCCGGAGCAGCTGGGATTCTCTTTGAGTCCGGCAAGCATATGGTATATATTTGAATATACTTCTTTATAAACACTTATAATAAAGAAAAATGATTTAAAAAAGGAACGAAATTCTCCATACAATGTTCATAATACCCTTTATACTTCTTTCTATTTTCTTTGTTGATCTCTATCTTTAATTGATTTTTGGTATAAATTAGTGTTAATAACGCAGGGTGAAAATATCCATTTGGGAGCACAGTTGATAAATCACAGAGTCATATATTCCAGAATTGCGATGAGACTTGGAGGTTCTGAGAAAGCTGAACAGTATCTTAACAAATGCTTATATTACATGAATATAGGAAGCAATGATTACATAAATAATTACTTCCTTCCCAACTTTTACCCAGCAAGTCGCATTTATACCCCTCTCCAATTTGCGAATCTTCTTATTGACCAATACTCCGGACATATACAGGTATATATTTTATAATATTCTGTTTGTTTTTCACTTTCTCTCACATTTTGATCTGGGGTTACTTTTATATATACGTAATTATAAATTGAAATTAAACTATTGGATCAAGTATTTGTTATAGTTTTCCTTAGGCCATTCAAAGCTCCTAATTTTTGTTATATTCATAAAAAAAATAATTTAAATTGAACTTATTAGCTGAGAAATTTTATTATATTATTTTTATTCATTTGTTAATAAATTTTTATGTAATTTATAATTTTGCAATATATAAATATTATTGTACGTAGATTATTTAATATTTTTTTATAACATTTAAAGATTTGTAGAGATAATTATTTGCCATTTGCTTTGAACTCGAAATTTTTTTTTATAGAGACTAATTTTTATAATAAAAAAGTACAAGTACAAAAACATTTCGACAAAAATGATAGTTATGAGAACACATTTAACTAAAGATTTTTTTTGGTTCTCATAAAAAAATAATTATTTTAATTTTTGATTATTTTGTGTAAATATCAAATTAATTTACTTTCTTTTATTAATAGCTTATTTGAAAAATTAAAATTTGAAATCAATTTTGAGTTTTTTTATTTAATTTCAATAGGTTAAAATTTATAAATAGAATGATTTTGATATATATATATATATAT